GCAGCAATGGCTGGAAAATACAAGGTGTACTTAGTGATGGGTGTTATTGAGAGAGATGGATACACACTATATTGCACCGTGCTTTTCTTCGACTCTCAGGGTCACTTTCTTGGAAAGCATCGGAAGATAATGCCAACAGCGTTGGAGCGGATAATTTGGGGTTTTGGCGACGGATCAACAATTCCAGTTTATGACACTCCACTTGGAAAAATAGGTGCTGCAATATGTTGGGAGAACAGAATGCCACTTCTAAGGACCGCAATGTATGCTAAAGGTTGGACATTTGTTGCTAATCTCTTAGGTTCTTCTATTCTTGTTGTCGAATACCTAGCTTTTAGGGACCCTTTGATATGAGGAATGAGCCATGCTTTTTCTCCCATGCCAATTGCCTCTAAGTTCCTAGCATCTTTAGCGATAAAATTCATCTATGAAAGCGGTTGTTTCATTTGTGCTATTAAAGTAATGATTAATGAACCCCTAGGGCATCAAAGTGCCGGGGTAATGAGATGCTTTTCTGGCTTGGTGCAGCTTCTGATAATAGAATTATGCATAATTTTTGATCTGGAACTGACTGTTTTTTCACGCTTTAGTAGTTTCTGATTACAATGTCTTCAAACTTCTTAATTACTGGATACATTATGGGGGAATTTTGCAAGTCTTTTCGCAGGGTGGTATAGCAGTTGTCTTCTAATGTCAAATACTTATTTTTACTTTAGGTCATGAAGCTGAATTTCATTGTCGCTGTCCACAGAAGAATGATCATCATTAGTTTTGTGGATGTGCCTTTAAATGATTGCTGTCATTTAATGGCCTGTTTTGAGCCCCCTTTTGGTTCAATGGCAAAGGTAGTACAGTTTGGGATGAGCGTTAGGTGCACATCACTAGTTTGAAACCCTGGTTGTTGCACCAAGATCGGTATTTAAGTTGAGAAGGGTAGACAAATCGACCATTATCCCGGAGTTTGAAGCTGTAACAACAGGTTATCTCGGTCATTAAAAAAGGGGGCCTGTTTTTATTTTACACGAGTAATAAGAGATAGTTCGATAATTGAAAATGTAAATAAGAGATGTATTCAGCCACTAATCTTGCTCTTTTTAGCAATAGAAAGGGGGGAAATTTGTATTTTGTATCGTCCTATGTGATTTCTTGGTTTATCTCCTTTGTTGTGTAACATTTTGTTGAAGAGAGAATTAAATAAATAGAAGTGTGTTCTCTCTAATAGATTAAGCGTTTAGATGAGATGGTCACACAGTTCAACATAGTATTAGAGCAGGCAAAGGTCTGGGTTCAAGTCTCACCACCACCCATTATAAAAAATGAATTTCACATGCTTGGCCAATGAAAAAAATGAAACCTTGCCCGTGAGGGGGCGTGTTGAAGAGACAATTAAATAAATAAAAGTGTGTTATCTCTGATAGATTAAGCTTTTAGTTTAAGATGGTTACACAATTCAACACATTTGTTTGAGAAATGGATACTACTTGAGATGTCACAGAAAGCAAGTGGATGTTCATATTTGCAATATGCTCCCAAATGAATTTCTAAGTTCTTTTCTTTTGCAGGAATTGAGATATATTGTGCACCTACAGCTGATTCTAGGGATGTGTGGCAGGCATCAATGACCCACATTGCATTGGAGGGTGGTTGTTTTGTTTTATCAGCCAATCAGTTCTGTCGAAGGAAAGATTATCCCCCTCCACCTGAATATGTTTTTTCCGGCACAGAAGAAGATCTTACACCAGATTCCATTGTTTGTGCTGGTGGTAGTGTAATTATATCGCCATCAGGGGCTGTGCTGGCCGGACCAAATTATGTAGGGGAGGCGCTCATCTCAGCTGATCTAGGTACATCAGTGAGCTCTCTTATTTTGTGTTCTCAAATTGACATTATGTACCACGCATGGAATTGTCATACATTAGCTGTTGAAAAGTGATTACCTCAGCTTCTTTGTTATAGTAGGAAAAAAGAAAAGAAGTCTTCTCATCCCCAAAAAAGAAAAGAGAAGAATGCAAAAAAGAGTGGTGTTTGTTTTACTTGTCGCCAATCCTATGCCCAGTTACTTCTCCACGTAGCATGTATGCTGCTCATGAATTGGTCTGCTGAATAACATTGGTTATATTATGGCAGAAATGTTTCCTCATTATGAGACTATGAGGTACATATATCTTAGATATATGCATATTGGTTGTGCCTCCGTTGTTTCTTGTTTTGCATTTAGATCTCTGAGCTCCTGCAACACTACCTTTATGATAGTTGTTCTAATTAATACTGTCAATCTAACCATTTCTTAATTTAACTATTTTGTGGTATCGGAAGCTTGATCTACGTGAGACAGGTTACACTTGCTGCATTTGGTACTCCTACTATGTTTATTGACTTGTATAAGCAAAGTGCAGTTGACTGCAATTGTACTCAGGTTTCTAAATTCGGTATGATCAATGAAAAGACAAGTTAAAATTTGTTCACGCATTATGACATAGACCGTTTATTTGCCTTGACGTACCCGTATTGGAGGAGTGTGGCATGTGTGTGGATATTTTATACAGATTATTTAAAGCATACTAAAAATTACCAAACTGTATGTACTTGTACAGGATATATATACCCACCCCTTTATCATATATATATCCATAGCTGAATTCATTCAACATGATTCACACGTGGATATTTCACTCCACTTCTCCTCCTGTCTCCTGTTCTTAAGAAGTTTGGTGTCGCTAGCACACATTTTATTTACCCCCACAACCCCACCAAAACACACACACACACACACACACACACAAGGAATTATACTCCAGCCTTTATTAATTAGCTAGCAATTTTAACAGATCTTGGAGAAATAGCTCGAGCCAAGTTTGATTTTGATGTGGTTGGGCACTATGCAAGACCTGAAGTTCTTAGCTTGATCGTGAGGGATCATGCGGTGAGCCCTGTTAGTTTCACTTCTACATCCAGTAAAGCAGAGAGCTCTCCCAAATGACAAGGACCTGTTTACATATGCATCTTGTACGTTGCTGAGCCGTCCAAAGTAGTCAGAAACTCCGGGCTGTTTGTTTCAGTGTGAGTTGACAAATTTCCGCCTCTTTGCGAAGGTTGTATAGTAGTCCTTTGTTATTTTATCTGCTGTGTACATACATCCCTTGAGACTTGCCAATTGGCCAACTCAATGTCTTTTTTGTATGAGAAACATGTTGATAGTCAATCCTGGTCAATGAAAAACCCTGTTGTCTTGGTTGTTTTCTATAATCTTACAGCTATACTTCTGTATATTCATTTGCCTGTTGGATAAGCATGGTAGTAAGAATTGCAGTAAAACAGCCACCAGCATAGTCTCTCCTAAGTCGCGCTATTGTTACTTGAACTCTACTAAAATTGATCTTAACGCTTATAGATAGTTTGAAATGATTTAGCACTCAAATTATATTACTATAATAACAAAATGTTAATAATAACTTTTCACTATTTAAAAAACTATTAGTTATCCTTATGAGGCACTTAACCCTTTGGCTGACAACTGAGGAAGTCGAGAGAAAGTACAGATAGAGATTACTATAAGAGAGTAAATGAGGAAAAGTGGATATGTTCCTTCTTTTGGAGTTGATAAGATAAGAATGAAAGTTAGCAAGATTTAATAATGGGTAGTTCGGTGCACTAAGCTTTCGCTATGTATAGGATTTGAGAAAGATCGGAACACATTAAATTTATTGTAAATAGTATAAGACAATTTTGATCAACTAATTGGTTGGTTGGTCAATGCCAACCAGAGAAAACGATGATGGAAAAGATATAAAAACAAATAGAAATACATAAATAGACCCCTTTAATTTGTCCATCAGTTGAACATCGGCATATGACCAGATACACTTCTATTTGACTCAGGCGTGTCTCGTGAAGTTCAACAAGCTTCGTGCGTGAGTTACACTCGCTACAAATTATCGAGTGACACGTATTTTTTAAAACTAAAATTATTATGAACTTCTATATTAAAAGATAATTGTATTTTTTATTTTATTTTAGTTAAAAAGAAGAATAAAATAACCCTCCTTTTCCTCACCAAACTGCTGCCTTAAATCAGCCCTTAAACCACCGTGAAAAATTCACAAAAAACCATGAAATCACCGTAGAAAAGTCAACTTATGTACGGTCAAAACCGATTGAGTCAGTCGTACGGACTGGTCGAGACGATAATAATTCGATCAAAGGGTATTTGCATGACAAGCTCGGTCGAGGTCCGAAGTAAGGGCGTCGAGCTTCGAGCTCTAAGACAGATCAATGACAAGCTCGGTATCGTTATCGAGCTCATATCCAAATCGAACTACGAGGCAAAGCGGAGATTATCGAAGATGCATAGACCGACCAACACTCACCCCGAATATCAAGACCCCAAGTCAGAATCGAGCTCGAATCAAGGCCGAGGGCTCGATCCAATACCGAGCTCGGGCCAGTATCGAGCTCGCAGACAAGAGCCGTTGCAACCGCATTATGGGAGAGAATCTTGGCGGAAATTGAGGAAGACAATTCATCGTGGGTCCTCCACTATATATTATTATTATAGATAAAGTAGGATCCCCCAATATAAGAGGAGTAGGTTGGCACATTGAAAGGGGGCTAGTTCTTGAACATTTTCCTCTTCCCTGTCTTATATTTCATTCCATTTGCCAAGAATAGAGATTTTTGCATTTCATTCTACAATTTGTATCAAGATTTATCACGTGTCCTTAGAACCATGTACACATTTAACTCTATCCGATTTTTCGGGTAAACAGTTTGGCGCCCACCGTGGGGCTAAGGATAACAGTGATTGTTTGATATAAATCTACAGTACACACTAGCTTACAACTTCAAATCAGCAATGGCTTTACCTATCGACCACGAAGTCGGCCTTCAGGATGAAACCAACAACTTGATACCCAGGGCGGGAAGGCCACTTAACGATGTCACTGAAGCTCGAGTCGAAGTACCTGAAATCCGAGTCGGAGTACCGCTAGATGTCAATTCACAAGTGGCTCTTGAGGCGAACCAACATTCCGAACCGGAAAAAAACATTCAGGGCGGTACTCGATCCATAGCTCGAGACGCCCATAACGTGGAGGAGATCGGAGCCAGCTTACGGATGATCTTCGAGATGTTACAAGCCCAGCAAATAGCGATAGCCCAGTTGCAGAGCCAAACTCAGGTACAAAGCAGGCCGGAGCCCGATCCGCTTCGAGAATCACCCACAGAACAGAGCCATCCATAGTGAAGTCAAACGAGCAAGAATCGGGGACTACTCCCGAAATAACTAAATTGCTCGAGGAACTCACAAAATGAGTCGAAGCCAACGATAAAAAAGTAGAAACATATAATTCCAGGGTCGATCAGATCCCGGGAGCTCCACCAATGATAAAAGGTCTGGATTCGAAAAAATTCATTCAAAAGCCTTTTCCCTCGAGTGCAACCCCAAAACCAATCCACAAAAAATTTTGTATGCCCGAAATACCCGAATATAACGGAACGACCGACCCCAACGAGTACGTCACTTCTTACACGTGTGCCATCAAGGGCAATGATTTGGAAGATGATGAGATCGAATCTGTATTATTGAAATAATTTGGTGAAACCATGTCAAAAGGGGGCAATGGTATGGTATCATAATTTACCATCTAACTCTATTGATTCTTTTGCTATACTTGCAGATTGCTTCGTAAAGGCACATGCCGGAGCCATAAAGATCGAAACAAGAAAGTCGGACTTGTTCAAGGTAATACAAAAGGATAACGAGATGCTAAGGGAGTTCGTATCTAGTTTTCAAATGGAACGAATGGACCTGCCACAAGTCACAGACGATTGGGTTGTTCAAGCTTTCACTCAAGGTCTAAACGAGCGGAGCTCGATGGCTTCACGGCGGCTGAAGCAAAATCTGATCGAGTACCTAGCTATTACTTGGAGCGATGTGCACAATTGATATCAATCCAAAATAAGAATCAAAGATGCCCAGTCGATTTCTAGCTCCGTTATCAAAAGAACTACCAAGCAAAGGTCGACCAGAGATCGATACCGGCCATATAGCGGAAATCCTCCAAACCCGTTATGATAAAATGGCAATCAACTACCAAGCAATTGGAACGTGTAACGCCTAAAACGATACTACTTCTGAGTATCCGAGGCCTCTTTAAAATCAACCTCGTATACTGGGGGGCTTTATCATTGAACGTATCTGTGATGATTATCAAGGTCGGTGCAAAGGGAATTACTTCATTATTTCATGACAAACAGTGTCTCGACAGGAAATGTTGTAAGAGCCAAATGGTCAAAACGAACCATGCTTATGTAGTTGGCCCGAGCCGTGACGCAAAACATGAACACATGTATAATGACTTGCAAAGAAAGCCCTCTTCTTCACCGATATTCTATGTTCAAGATTTATTACGAAAATAAGATCGAGTTCGAGCAAGCACTCACTCGATCACTAAGCCTACGGGATACTTTTATTTCGAGTTCGAGCAACCACTCACTCGACCATTACGCCTACGGGCTACATTGCATCGAGTTCGAACCATTCACTCGACTACTAAGCCTGCAGGCTACTTTTATTTCGAGTTCGAGCAAGCACTCACTTGAACATTGCGCCTACGGGCTACATTGCATCGATTTCGAATCATTCACTCGACTACTAAGCCTATGGGCTACTTTTATTTCGAGTTCGAGCAAGCACTCACTCGACCATTGCGCCTAGGGGCTACATTATATCGAGTTCGAATCATTCACTCGACTACTAAGCCTACATGCTACTTTTATTTCGAGTTCGAGCAAGCATTCACTCGACCATAATGCCTACGGGCTACATTACATCGAGTTTGAATCATTCGCTCGACTACTAAGCCTACGAGCTGCTTTTATTTCGAGTTCGAGCAAGCACTCACTCGACCATTGCGCCTATATGCTACATTATATCGAGTTCGAATCATTCACTTGACTACTAAGCCTACGAGCTGCTTTTATTTCGAGTTCGAGCAAGCACTCACTCGACCATTGCGCCTATATGCTACATTATATCGAGTTCGAATCATTCACTTGACTACTAAGACTACGAGCTACTTTTATTTCGAGTTCGAGCAAGCACTCACTCGACCATAACGCCTACGGGCTACATTACATCGAGTTCGAATCATTCACTCGACTACTAAGCCTACGGGCTACTTTTATTTCGAGTTTGAGCAAGCACTCACTCGACCATTGTGCCTACAGGCTACATTATATCGAGTTCGAATTATTCACTTGACTACTAAGCCTACGGGCTACTTTTATTTCGAGTTCGAGCAAGCACTCACTCGACCGGCTAGAGTTCGAATCATTCACTCTAATACTAAACCTATAGGCTACTTTTATTTCGAGTTCGAGCAAGCACTCACTCGACCATAACGCCTACGGGCTATATTACATCGAGTTCGAATCATTCGCTCGACTACTAAGCCTACGGGCTACTTTTATTTCGAGTTCGAGCAAGCACTCACTCGACCGGCTAGAGTTCGAATCATTCACTCTAATACTAAACCTATAGGCTACTTTTATTTCGAGTTCGAGAAAGCACTCACTCGACCATAATGCCTACAAGCTACTTTTATTTCGAGTTCGAGCAAACACTCACTAGACCATTACGCCTACGGGCTACATTACTGCGAGTAAAATTACTCATTTCTTCGAATTCAAATGAACGCTTGACTATTTAAGGCTGAAGGATGTTCGAACCCGATAAAGCAAAGGGGACTACCCTCAAGGCCCGAAGGCAACAGAGATTAAAATTCAAACTATCTATTTAGCTTAAAAGGCTATTTTGCTTCGAAAGGAAGAAAGATATAATTTACAAATTTTTATACAGAGGCGGCTACTCTGCCAAAGGGAAGTTCTCCATACAAAAATTGAAAGCGGTATCAAAAGAACACAACAAACGACCTAAGGCCCTAAATGACTCAATCTTCATCGGAGGCCGTATTCTCGGCATCGTCCTCATCTTCAGACTCCCCCGAGTCATCGGAGTCCTCCTTAGGAAAGGCTAACCTTCGAGCTTTGTTCTCCTCCGACCTGGCAACTTCAATCTTGGCCCTAATATCGAAGCCCTGAGCTCTGACCTCCTCGAGAGCTGCTCTCCGAGCTTGCCATTTTGCATGTTCGACCATGCTCTCAGCTTTGGCTTGGTTAACCTCGACATCGATCCTGAATTGAGCCACTTTGGCATCAGCTCTCTCATTGGCCTCGATCACCTCAGA